CTCATTTCCCCCACCAGGAGCACTCTGCCAGCCTCCCCCCCCCCCCCAAAACTATTCATGCCTTTTATTTGGAAAAAAAGGCCCGTTTTTGCGGAAAACGGGCCATTTTGGGGAGGTTTGCATAATGCAAAAACTTTTTTTTCCCTTTTGGAAAGCTCTTTATTAATGAGAATTACTTCGATCAAGTGCTGTGCCAGCAAGAACGAAGTTAGGTGCTGCAGATTGTCAGCGATTTCCTTCTCCAGCACATGAATAAATACACCTGAAAGCATCTACCTACCTACCTACTCTCGTTCTCTCCCTACCTATCTACTGTATTTCTCCCCCTCTCTCTTTCTATTTCTCATTCTCTATATCTCTCTACCTACACACTCTCTCTCCCTACCTACTGTATTTCTCTATCTATCTCTATTTCTCTCTCTATCATCTACCCACCTATTTACCTAACTACTCTCCCTCCCTCCCTGCTGTATTACTCCCTCTCTCTCCCTCTATTTACCTACCTACTCTCTCTCTCCCTATCTACTGTATTTCTCTCTCTCTCTTTCTATTTCTCTCTATCCCCCTCCCTCCCTACACACTCCCTCTCCCTACCTATTGTATTTCTCTATCTATCTCTATTTCTCTCTATCCCTTTATCTACCTACATACCTACCCAATTACTCTCTCTCCCTCCCTCCCTACTGTACTTCTCTCTCTCCCTCTACCTACTTACCTACTCTCTCTCTCCCCCTACCTATCTACTGTATTTCTCTCTCTTTCTATTTCTCTCTCTCTATCCCTCTCTCTACCTCCCTACCTACACACACACACACTCCCTACATACTGTATTTCTCTCTCTCTCTCTTTCTCTCTCTCTCTCTCTCTCTCTCCCTTTATCTATCTACCTATCTACTTACCTAACTACTCTCTCTCCCTCCCTCCCTCCCTACTGTATTACTCTCTTTCTCTCCCTCTCTATCCCTCTTAATTTGCCTCTTCAAAACCTTGGTGCGTCTTATACTCCGAAAAATACAGTAATTTATCAACTGCAGTGATTCACTTAACAAAAGTGGTAAGAAAAGTCACAAAATGGGGCAAAGCTCACTTAACAAATTTCTCACTTAGCAACATCAATTTTGGACTCAATTTTGGACTACCTACACCTACAGGGACTACCTTTTCAGTCAGTTCATTAAAATACTTACAATCAAGTGAAGCCTAACAGATTTCTTACGTGGTATTTTTTCCCCTGAAGCATGAATATTACAATACAATATCTCACTAATACAAGCATCTTATTTTTTTTATTTAAGTCAAAGACTTTTTCTTTACTGTACTATAATGGATGTTGAAGATAGCTGGTAAAAGAATGTCTATTTAAACAATATTTCCAGAAATCCAAAGTTTTTTTAATTGCTTCTCACTTTCTTCTGCAGCCAACCAGAAGATTTTTGCCTTGTTAATGTTGTTAAGTCAGGGGGAAAAACAGCCTATAACAGCCTCCAATCAGGTGTGGTCAGCCAGCAGCCTGCGGAGCTGGCAGCAGTCAGACAGGGAGGAGGTTGGGGAGGAACATGGGACAGTCCTGGAGTCTGGGGAAGGCTCAGATGAGGGCTTTGTGTCGGAGGCAGAGAGGGGGCCAGGGCCATCTGGGAGTTATGTGCCTCCAGAGCCTCCAGAGCTGGACATCAGCAAGGCGAGGAACAGGAGAGCCTGTTCCCAATAAGCACATGCACAGAGCTGCCAGAAGGCAAGTACAGTTAAGACAAAAGGGACGACTCAGGAGTAAGGCTTGGAGGTGATTAGCCCCTCCCCTAGGACATAAAGGAGGAGCAAAGACACGTAAGCCTTTGCAGGAAGCAACTTTGTTCATGTTTGTCGGTTTACATTCTGAAGCTCCATTTTGACTCTTTGCTCCATGCAGCCTTGCCAAGCTAATTCCCAATTAAAACTTTGGCAGTGTTTCAAGGAAGAAAAAGGTGGGTGCGTATCAGCCTTATCCCGAAAGACTTTGGCAGCCTACTGTCGGACTCTTTACAAACTATTTGGGACTCCTTACGGCCTGTGAATGAACATAATTCACAGCCATTGAAATAAAAAGAGGATTTGGGGGACTAAGCGTCTGCTTTTTACTTTTTCAGGAAGCCTAGATCAGAACACCAGGCTTCAAGTCTCATTATCCCTAGCTATCACTCAGTTCCTCTTCTCTGTTCAGCACTCACTTTCAAGGGTAATTTCCCAAGCTCCTTCCGTTTCTTCTGGGCTGCTTTCACTACCCCAAAGAGCACATCGGTGTGGATTGTCCTCTCATGTGCTTCATCCAAAATGACCACACTGTATTTATGCATAAGCGGGTCGCCAATGGCTTCTCGAAGCAGCATCCCATCTGTCAGGAACTTGATTTTTGTCTCATCAGAAGTGAGATCTTCAAAACGCACCGTATAGCCAACCTAAGAAGAAAAGCCATTGCGATAAAAAAGGGGATTAGCCATGAGGCATCTTTAAGCATTAAATCAAGCACAACAGAGTAGTAAAGAGCTACATATATATTGGCTCTTTGAGGTTATTCAGACAAGAAGCACCAGCCATGAAAATGAACACTACCTATCTTCATTGTAAGGTTATAGTAACAGAATCCTGCAAGTCTGAAAGTATCTCTCCCTTCCCTTACCTTTACTCTTTTAAAAACTAAGGAGGGTTCCTTCTGAGACACTTTCCTCAACTCCACCCCTCCTTTGGATCCAGATTTCACTTATTAGACCCTTGCAACCCTTCCTTCCAACTTCCAAGGTCATTCTCATTGTAATATACTATTGCAATATATTACAAACGTAAAATAAAGGGAGAAGTGTGAGACAAGAGAGAGTGGTGCGGTGGCTTAGAGCTGTAGCTCTCGCCTCAATCAGGAGGCTGTGAGTTCTAGCCTAGGTAGAGGCAGGTATTTCTCTCTCTAGGCACATTGAGATCATATTTGCTGAATGTAACTCTGCATTAGCAACAGGAAGGGCATCAGGCCAATAAATACTGGACTCCATTCAATTGCTCACACTCTGCCCTGCAAGGGATTATGGGGTCATTAAAAGATGACAAAGAGTGGGAAGAGATAGCCTACCACCAAAAAAATCTCAAATAAAGTATAAATGTGGAAGAGCTGATTTCAAATCTTATTAAGTAATCTTAAATAAATAATCAGAATGTTTTATATATAAATAAAAACTTCTTATGCTGTATTTGGTCCCAAGCAGTACTCTTATATCCCACTCCCCATCTCTGGTCCAAGAATGTAGCATTTTTAAACTCTCTTATATTTGGGCAAATTTCTTCAAATTAGCCTTCCTCATGGAGCTAATCACCGAATTTATTTTTACAAAGTGTGATTTCTTTTCAATATTTCCCATTTAATTTATGAATAATGCAATGCAATTGCTCAGTATTTCATTGCTTCTTGATAAGCGGCAAATTCCCATAAAGAAAGTATAATAATTCCCACTTCTCTCCCTTACTTTAATACTAATTGTTATCTATGTTAATTACAGTTAGCACTTAGCAATAGCACTTAGACTTATATACGGCTTCATTGTGCTTTACAGCACTTTCAAAGAGGTTTACAGAGTCAGCATATTGCTTCCAACAATGTGGCTCCTCATTTTACAGACCTCAGAAGGATGGAAGGCAAAGTCAACCTTGAGACAGTCAGGATCGAAGTCCTGGCATTGGGCAGAGTTAGCCTGCAATACTGCATTCTAACCACTGCATCACCGCGGCTTCTAGTTAACATAAACTAAGTAGCATTATTATTATGATTTGAAAATCTTAGTTTTAATCTTTAAGTCTGGGGAAATTATTGCTAAAATGTACAATGATTGGCATAGTAAACCAGGAGTTGACTATTTTTAGTCTTCAGTCTATTTCAAAACTTCTCTGCAAAGCACCAAATCAAGGTTCTAATCAGATCAACATCTTAGGATAGAGAGTTGAAGATGTCAAACAATAGAAACAGAGAAACAGAAAGGAGGAGGATCCAAAGAGAAAAAACAATCTACATACCAATTTTCCTAATTCATTTTTCTTCTCATCTGAGACGCGAGTAGCCAAGGATATAGCAGCTACACGACGAGGTTGGGTCACAGCAACTATTCCTTGGCGCCCAATTCCCCCCTCGTAGAGATACTGTGGAATCTGAGTTGTCTTTCCAGAACCTGTTTCCCCTACAATTATTAAGCAAATAAATGTCATTTTGTTAAATACATCAGATATGGCATCTCCACTATTTATCCTAACAGGAAATAAAACAGAATTGTTTTCCGAATTCGTTTAAACAAACAATGGCCTCAGTCAGATTGCTCCAAACTGGGCACCACCGTACACTAAAATTCTCAGTGATAATCATTTTGAATAGGGAATTCTGGATTTTAAGTCCATCCATTTGGAGGTTATTCATGTTGTGGATTCTAAGCAAATACTGTGGGACCGCAGTCTTATTTTACCTGCTGCTCTTCAAGCACATTCTAACACTGAGAGCCAGCTTGGTGTAATGGTGAAGGTGTTGAGCTAGAAACTAGGAGTCTGTGAATTTTAGGCCTCCCTTAGAATTAAAGCCAGGGGGTAACTTTGGGCTAGTCTCGCTCCCTCTCTCCCAGCCTAACCCGCAGGGTTGTGGGGAAAGTAGGGATCAGGAGTATTAGGTACGGTTGTCCCTTGAGTTACTTATAAAGTAACAAAAGTGAAGGAAAATCTGATAAAAAATAAAATACATTAAAAAGATGGGTAAAGGATATACTGCTACTTATTATTATTATGTGGTTAATCTTTGGTGAGATTCACAGCCTTTGGGGCTGGTTGGTAGCTCAACAG